CCACAGCCCGCATCTGTTTCTTTCTCTGTGTAATTCAGAGGTTGTGAGGTCCCTGGACACCATTTGCAGGACTCAGGGTCCTCCTGAGGGTCCGGGCAGAAGGAACCAGCCCAGCATGACCAAGTTGGCCAGCCAATTTGGTCGGTTGCCTGTCATCCTGACGACCCCAGGCCCACTGCCCCACCCAGGCGGCCTGGCCGTGTTTCCATCCCTACTTCCTCCACCTGGGCAGACCCTCACCTTCCCGGGAGCCCTTGGGTCTGGGGCAAAAAAGGTGTCCTGCTAGCAAAATAGTTTCTGGCCCCGTTAACCACCAAGAGGGGCACCAAGATGATCTCATTGGAAAATGACTCTTTCCCATTAAATCACGAAGACCCTCAGGTGTTCTACCTGACTTTTCCAGAGCTGTAAGAAACTGTACGTGCATCTGAAACTTCCCCAGAAGGGACCTCAAGAGGTGTCTTCATCTCCCTGTCATACTGGAGGGGGGACCTCACAGCAGGATGGTGGGCGGAGAGGGAAATTAAAATACCCCTGTAGGGGCGAGTCAACCACCTTAGAACTTAAAATTCAAGTACTTGGGTAAGAGTGGCTCACGTGACCGTTTCTGGTGACAGATGACCCGGAGGCACCCGGCGAGCGACTCCGCTGGCCCAGAGAGCACGTGCCTGCCGGAGATGGGAATGGCCCATTCCTGCAACTGTACTTGGCGACGATTAGTGGCCCCCAAACAGATAGTCTGGGCACAAAGACAGCGGGGACCCTTCCTACACAAAAGGCAGATGGGGCACAGGTGCGGGCGTAGAGGCCAAACGTCAGCCGGGGAGGACGGGGCGAAGGACCACCTGCGGACCCGACGAGGAGCCTGGGGGAGGCAGTCCGAGTGCAGGCGAGGCGGCGACTGACATCCCGAAGGGAAGGGCAGACCACGTCTGCGGGGGGTCCGCCTGCGGGCGGGGCCACGTCTCGTGGCTCTCACAGTGGGCCTTGCCGGGGTGGGGACATTTCCTCACACCTGGCAGGGGCTGAGGCCGACCCCCGTTCCACGCCTGGTTTATCCTATCTCGGGTGACTTCCAGGGGCGGGCGCCTTGTGGCTCTTAACTGCCTGACCTGTGACCGCAGTTTAGCGGCCAACCTTCCATCAGGGAACGTCAGACTCACCAAAGCACAGTAGACGGCAGTGGAAAGGGGCCTCCCTGGGCGCCAGGGCAGCAAAGGGGGCCTCACCACTCTGCAAGTGGCTCGCCAAAGCCTGTCACAAGTGGGCACAGGGAACCAGGTTCTTGGTGATCACAAAGAATTGAACCGAGCACATGGAGAGTTGATAGCGGAAAGAGTGAGAGCAGGTTGATGGAGCGCCTGTACGCTCCGCAAAACATGGAAACAGGCCGGCTCCAGGCAGAGATGGACCTCAGGGCCTGGAGGGATTCTGTTCTTTTTTTTTTTTTTTTTTTAATTTTATTTAGTTATTTTTCAAGTACAGTTTTGGATTCTGTTCTTAAAGGGCGCATATGTCCTGGCTGGTTTTGGCTGGGTTTTATTGTGTGTGTGAGTAGTTCTATTACTTTAAAGCTACTGTGCCTGTGGTCTCCCATGATTTCCCTTGATTGGCCACCAGGGAAGGGGGTCCCACAAGGCTGATTTATCGTAACACTATTATAACGAAGCAGGCAGGGGCCAGGTGGCATCTTCTGCGCAGGTGCAGTCATGACTCACCGTGATTCAGTGCTTTTCCAGAAAGTGGGGGTGACCGGTCTTAGAACCGGGTCCCTGTGCTGCCTCCTGTCCTTTATCTTAGCCCTGGGGCACCGGCAGTTTTTCCATTCCTTAGGAACCGGTCTTGGAACAGGGTCCCCGCCCTGTCCTTTATCTTAGCCCTGGGGCACCCGCGGTTTTTCCATTCCTTAGGAACTGGTCTTGGAACAGGGTCCTTCGTCTGAGCGCTGGGCGCCTGCCGAATTTCCTCCGTCCTGACCGTCTCCTGCCTCAAAACCATGAAATACACAGAAGGACTCGGCCCCCGATGTTGACAGAACAGCCCAGGGACTTGTGGGAAAGCAGGTTCTAAGCCAGCAGGCCCCAGGGGCAGGGAATGTGTGGGGGCACCGTCTTCCTGCAGCGCACCCCCCAGACTAATGCACTCGCTGCTGACCAGAGTCCCCACGTAGAATGGCAATGTCGGAGCACAGTGAGACCCCCACGCCCAGAAGAGACAGGAAAATCGAGATGGCGACTGTCTGGCTGTTCAACAATCAGAAGCAAGGCCGTCTTCTGTCCCCACTCCCGGTGGGTGCTCACAGACACAGCTCCGAGCCGTCTTTCATCCAGAACTGAGCCCAGGGGGCGGCCTGGCTTCACTGGGCTGGCCTCATAAACAACACAGGGCGAGAACACCCCACAGGGGTTCCAGACCCCGAGCTCAGCTCCCGGGGGTTCTGCAGAGACCTCAGTGATGAGGCCCGCAAGCCCAGGCGGGGGGGAACCAAGACCCAGGTGAGCAGGTAGGGGGTGACAGACACCCAGGTGGGCAGGTCAGAGGAGACAGAGACCCAGGTGATCAGGTTGGAGGTGAGGGACACCCAGGTGGGCAGGCACCCAGGTGGGCAGGTGGGGGTGTCAGAGAGCCCGCCACACAGCTCCTTTGCACAGATATCAGCCCGAGCCCCAAACATGCAGGAGAAAGAAGAGGTTAACAGCTTCCACGGACCAAATGGAGGGAGGAAGTGGCTTTCCAGGACGAAGGGCGGCACTGCCGGATGCTCCCTGGGGGAGGACACTGGCCACCTGGAGTCACATCAGGGCTTGGGACCCAGGAGCAGCCCCACACCCTCCGTGCAGGGTGTGGGCGAGCATCCAGAAGCTCCCAGCCAGGCCCCCTTCACACGTGTCGAAGAAGGTGCAGGAAACAGGGTACGTAGGGCAGTGACACCTCTGTCCCCTTCAGAGTGGGCACCTCACACCATTCTCCCAGCCGGGCTTCCACTGTTTGAAACGCTCTGCTCAGCCCTGGCTGCTGTGGCTCAGTGGTTGAGCACTGGCCTGCGAACCAAAGGGTCGTTGGTTCAGTTCCCAGTCAGGGCACGCGCCTGGGTTGTGGGCCAGGACCCCAGTAGAAAAGCAACCACACGTTGATGTTCCTCTCCCTCTCTTTCTCTCTCCCTTACCCTCTCTAAAATATAAATAAAATCTTTAAAAAAAAAAAAACAAAAAAACCCCACTCTGCTCAGAGTCCTTTGTGGGAACCACCGTCAGACACCCTGCTGTGTTGTCTGGAATCTCGTCCACCACCTGAATTTCTTCCCTTTCAAAGGCAATTTTATTAATTTGCTTTGAAAAATATTTTATTTATTGTCAGAGAAAGGGGAAAGGAGGGAGAAAGAGGAAAGAAATACTGAAGGGTGAGAGAACGTTAACTGGTCCCCCCAACAGGGGGCCTGGCCCGCAACCCGGGCAAGTGCCCTGACTGGGAATTGAACTGGTGACCCTTTGGTTCACAGGCCAGCGCTCCATCCACTGAGCTACGCCAGCCAGGGCTGCTCCTGGCTTTCACGAACACCCCCGACACCCTCCTCGGCAGAAGCCACCCCAGGACACAGCCTGGCCAACCTGAATGTGAGGTGGGCACAGTGCGATCGGCCACTGTGCTGCTGGCCCCGGCTCCTGCAGGAGCACCTGGGCCATAGCCTGGTCCCCGCTGTGTCCCCTCCCTGGGCAGCGCTTCTCCCCTTGTCCCTGTGCTGGTGTGTGGGGAGCTGGGACGGGCGGAGGCCCCAGCACCTAGAGCTTTCTGGTGGAACTGCTGCTTCCTTCTCCCTCACGGTGGCCGAGGCGGCCGGACCGCAGAGACCAGGAGTGACCAAGAGTGGCAGCCCCTGGGGACTTCCCCAAAGGGCAAACGCCACTGCAGGGGCCTGAGCCAGATCCTCAAGCCATGCCCTTCGCTTAGTCAGGTCCCCAGAATGCCGAGCCCTGCCTGACACTACGTGGGGTCCCAGTCGGAGGACAGCAGGGGACGGGGGATGTTGGACAGCTGGACATGGAGGGCGTCATGGAGCACATTCAAAGTGGGCTTCGGGCTGAGTGCAGCTGAGACTGGCGGGGGAGAGGCCCACAGGGCCGAGAATTTCTGGGTCCTCAGCGTCGGCGCTCGGCAGAACCTTGGCTAATGGGTGCTGCCTCCAAGGTCGGGGCTCCCCAGAACTGGCAGCTGGCCCCCGAAGGCCTTGGAGGGTCTTCTGCCACCTCCTGGGAGTGCCCTGTGGGCAGTGGGGACTGCTGGGCCCCAGGGTCCCCTTGCGGTGCCCGGCACTGCAGGCCGGCTCCGGGTCCCCCTGCGGGTTGGCTGCACACTCAGCCCGGAGCCCGCAAGGGTGGGGCCGGCCGTCTTGCCCCAGGCCAGCTCCTTTTCCAGTCCCCGTCCACAGCTGTGCAGGCTGCCCCTGCCCGGGGAGAAGCTAACTTCCAGCTCCAGGGTCACCAGATCCAGGTCAACTATGTGTGGCTGTCCACCCGTCTGGGGTTCAAGGACAGAGCCTTGCTGTGGCTGTTCCTCCCAGGGGCAGCTGTGGCTGTGTGTAGGTTTGGGAGCTGCCTGCCCACGGCCCTGCCACTGCCACCACGAGCCTCAGGCACCCATCCCGGGCCACCAACTGCGCCTCCCCCCGGGCTCCCCGCCAGAGGCTCATTTAAGCCACAGGCTGGTGGCTGAGCCCTGGGCTGACCCTCCACTGAGGAACCCTGCCTTGCTGTCTGCCTGCCCCGTGGCGCCCCCTCATTTGTGGGCCTCTAGCCACGCGCCTGCCCAACCACCGCCATAGGGAGCTCCGTCCCACCCTGCCCGGCGGCACCGCAACAGTTCCCTGAAGCAGGTGCCTCTGGCTGCCAGCTGTAAGGGGACTCGCCCCCGCACATGCCCCAAAACCTGGCACCTGGGGGGTGGCCGAGGTGTCCCGTCCAGCCCCGACCCCCCACCACGGAGAGGACGCGATCACACGGACAGAAAGCCTCATCGATGTTTATTCTACTTCAAGTAACAAAACCTACCAAGTTCCATGTGCTAATGGACAGTGATATAATACTTTGCCATATAAAATACAATTTACAGAAAAATCTATTGAGTCAACCTAAGGAAACACACTTGATTTTTACATTTGTGTATTTAAATTAGAAAAATCTGTTTTACATGTAAAAAACCCTTCACATCGTATTAGCTGTTGGGACTGGACACCGTGGTGGTCGGATGCCCACTGATCACAGTGGCCCCCCCCCTCGCCGCTGGGGCCTCACCGGGCGGCCCTGCGTCTGCAGGAGGAAGGGGGGTGGGCAGCGATGCGCAACGAAGAACAGACCCCGGAGAGCAGAGGACACCTCTCATTGTACATCTGCAAAAGTTTATGAAAATGTAAAAAAACATCAAAGTGTTATTTGTACGGCCGAATGAGTTAGCAGGGGTTTCTCGTCGCGCCCTCCACAGGAAGCGCAGGTGCCGAGGGCCGCGCTCGCGTTCAGACTCACTCCCAGAGCCGCCCTGGCAGCCGTGGCCGGAGCGGAGCGCTCTCCCCCCGCCCGGGGCACGGGAGGCACCGGGCAGAAGGCGAAGCTCAAGGGCGCCTTCCTGACGGCTGCGGTCAGAGAGCCCCGCCCTTCCAAGTCCACGTCATTGGTCTGCCTCCTCACTTTTGGGTAAAACTGGAAGCCTTTTCCAATCAAGTGTTATTTAAAATGTGACAATTTGTACTCAGATGTTGCTTTTAATTTGGAGAGAAAAAAGTATAAGGTGATATATAAAAACTGAGCAAAACTAAGAAACATGTTGTTTCCTGGTTGAAATTTGTAAGTCAAATTTCTTTAGGAAAAAAGAAAAACGCACCAGCAAGTGCTGCTCCCACCGCCCCCGAGTGTGGGCCGGCCCCGGGCCGCCGGCACGGCCGTGCCCGCTCCCAGCTTCGTGGCGGCGCTGAGGTCCACGGAAATTCCCCAACTCACCCGGTCAGGTGCTGGAAAAGATAACAGTATGATCTGAAAAAGCAATATGCTTTTGTAGACACTTTCCCATTTCGGTAATTCTCAATGGAAATGTTAAGAGTCCTTTAGTTTTTTTTAAAAAAGCGTCAGAATTGTAAAGACGGGAAATTTGTAAGAAACCATTATACACAAAATTACAGTAATTTCTGAAGTCCAGAATGTTCTATTCATCTGAGTTCATAGCGATTTCAAAACCGATTTGTCCAACACATTCTATGAACTTGGCTTTCAAAGGGAGGGACCCAGAGGGACAGCCTACGTGTGGGGGGCGGGGTCAGCCCCTCGAGGGGCGGCCTCAGCCTTGGGGTCCCGAACGCTCTCCTTGCTCCTGCTGCGGTCCCGGTGGTCCCGGCCTCGCTCTCGGGCCCGGTCCCGGTCTCTGCTCCGGGACCTCTCTCGGTCCCGCCTCCGGTCACGGTCGCGGTCCCTGTTGCGGCTGCGCTCACGGCTCCGCTCCCAGTCCCGCTCCCGGTCCCTGTTGCGGTCGCGGCAGGAGTCCTTCTCCCGGTGCCGGTCCCACTCGCGTCCTCGGTCCCAGTCCCGCTCTCGGCTCCAGTTGCGGCCACGCTCGCGCCTGCGGTCCTCAAAGGCGCGGCCCTGCCGGCTCTCGGCCTGCGTCTCGGGCTCCTCCAGCGGCTTCTCTTTGGGGCCCGCCTGGTTTCTGTACTCGGGGGCTTTGCCCTCCCGGAAATCGGGTGCGGCCCACTGTGCCTCAGCCTCCGGGCCCGAGCCCGGCGTCCCGGAGGGCAGGACGGGGGCTGGGCCAGCCTCGTCCCAGCGGTCCTTGCGGTGCTGGGGCGGATGGCTGGGCAGCTCCAGCAGGGGCCTGGGCGCTGGTTTCACCCCCTGAGGGGCAGGGCCCTGAAAGTGGAACCGGGGAGGGGCAGGCTCATTTTTGTCGGGAAAAGGTGCAGACCCACGAGGGCCCCCAAATGGGAGGGGTCCCGGAGCCCTCTGGGTGGCAAACCTGGGCGGGGAGTTGACCCTTTGCTCATCAAACTGCTGAGGCTGAACGCCCCTGGGTCCTGGCATGAAAGTTGCTGCTTGTCCTCTAGGTCCATCAAACTGACTAGGATGCGGCCCCCTCGGGCCCGCGAAATGGCCAGGGGGTGGTCCTCTCTGACCTCCAAACTGGGAGGGAGGGGGGCCTCCCCGGGGCCCTTTAAACTGGGCCAGCAGAGGCCTCCGGGGGCCCCCAAACTGGAATGGGCCTGGGCCTCTGCTTCCCATCGGGGGGCCTTGATCCGGACCCTCAAACGGGGCAGGAGCCCCAGCTGCATCGCCGTAAGGAGCCTCCAGCTCTCTCGTCCCCCCATGCGGGTCCTTACGTTCTTCGAATGGGGGTGGGGCTGCCCCTCGGGGCCCCCCAGGGTGCGAGGGGGAAGGGCCCCTGCTCTCCCCATAGGGGGGTGGCCCACGTGGCCCTGAGAACAGGGAAGGGATGGGCCCCTTCTGGGCCCCGAATCTGGCCGGAGGAGGGCCTCTCGGACCATCATTGTTAGAAATGACATTCTCTTCTGAAAAGGGGGGCGCAGGCCCCCGTGGTCCTGGGAAGTTGGGGCCGTGAAGTCCTGACGTTCCGAAAGTGCGGGGCGGGGGCTCACGCTGGCCCTGGAACTGGGGCCCCGGCGGGGGGCCGGTGGCGGGCCCCTCGCCCGGTCTGCCTGGGGGCTCTCTGTCTCCTTCTGTCTCAGTGGCTGAGCGGTCGCTCTTGTCAGCAAACGGGGCATTTCTCAGGCCCTCATATGGGGACGAGCCAAAGGCTCTGTCCTGAGACACGACGGCTGGATTCAGAAAGGGGTCCCTCCCCGCAGGGGAGCCGAAGCTCTGCCCCTCGCTCTGCACGGGGAAGCCGGGTGGGAAGGCGGCGCTCGGCGGTGTGGGCAGCAGCACCTTCCGGGCGGGCCGGGCCGGGCCAAGGCTGCCTGCCAGGGGAGGGCCGCCATGTGTGGGCGGTGGACCACGGCTCTCTGAGGGCTCCCCTGTGGCGCCCTCTTGCTTGGCGGGCCGGGAGGCCTCGTCCCCTGGAGCCCAGGCCGGAGGGCTCGGCTCCTTTTCTTCCGGGGCAGGTGCCAGCCCCTGACTGACGGCGGCCCCGCTGGGCACGTCTCTGGAGGGCAGGGTGCCGGGCGTGCTGCCGGCGGGGGCCTTCGCGCTCTCGCCCTCACCGCTCTCCGCGGCCAGCCGTCGGGCCTGCCGGGGGTCTCGATTCTGTCGTGGGTCTGAGCCCGGCCCGGGCCCCTGACTGCTGGGGGTCCCTGCTGCCCTTCCAACAGCCTGTGGCTCCTGAGGGAAAAGCTCGGCCTTGGGCAGCGCTGCCTTCGGAGGCGGCGACATCAGGGCGTCCGACACGGAGAAGTGGGCCATGGAGGCCCCGACGGCGGCCCGCTGCTGCCTGAGGGCCTCCTCCTGCTCCTGCACCTGCCGCTGCTGCTCCTCGATCTGCCGGTTCAGCTCCTCGATCATCTGCTGCTGCTCAGCCAGGGAGGGCGCGGCGGCACCGCCGCCCCGGGTGTCCGTGCACATCCTGTTGGGCAGGTCCTCCACGGTCACTTTGGCCTCTTCCAGAATCGTCTCATCCTCGGGGTCGTAGGCCACCTCCTCACGCTCGGTGCTCTCGGGGGCCTTCTCCGCACCCTGCCGCTTCCCTCGACCCCCGGGCTGAGCATCCAGGGCCCGGTCGGGGCCGTACTCTTCCTCGGGGTCATATGGCCTGTCATCCTCTTCCTCCTCCAGCGCCCGCTCCCTGGACAGCTGGCCAAACTGCTGGACAATGGGGTCCAGCAACGGCGCTGCTGGCAGCCCGCTCTCCACCCTGGCATCTGGGCGGGCTGCGGGCACGGGCTCCGGGGGCTCCACGGCCGCGGGGTCGAATGCTTTCTTCTTCCCAAACAGAGTCTGCAGGATGTGCTCCAGCGGCGAGGCCGTCTTGGAGGCAGAGGCGGCGGCTGCCGTGACCGCTGCCGGGACAGCCGGTGCCGGGATGGTACCGGTGGAACCCGGTTTGAGGGACGGCAGAGTCTTCGACACGGATGAAGATGATGAGGAAGACGATGAGGAAGATGAGGATGAAGCTGGTGGTTCTGGCAGAGGGGGTGGCGGTGGAGGGGACCCCGGGGGGGTGCCACTGACAGCTGTGTCCCCAGAGCCGAGCTGATACTTGGGGGGCTTCTTGTCGGACTGCGAGGCCGGAGGCATTCTGGGGCAGCCCGCCAGGTCCGCTTCTCCCGGAGCCTGCAGCCGGGCCCGCTTCTCCTCCGTCTTGTCCAGCTCCCCAGCAGTGGAAGGGCGCTTTGTTTTTTGACAGATCACCAACCCGAGGATGATGTTGGGACGAGGTGACTCGAGGCCTGAAAAACAAAAGACGCAGGTTTTGGAGCATGAGCCCAGCTCAGTGAGGGCGGCAGCGGGGCTGTTGTGGGCGGAAGCCAGAGTCTGGGCGAGATGCAGTCCAGCGTTTGAGGAACTCACTGCAAAAGACATTTACCTCTGGGTCCCAAACCCCAGACCAAGGGTTCGCTTGCAAGTAAATTCACCCCAACTGCCAGAACTCCCATTGTGAAGTGCCCCTAATACTCAGGCAACAGGGTGGCAGAGGCGGCGGGGCAGGGGGCGCAGCACTGATTAGCTCCGGGGGGTGGGGGGCAGGGTGCGGGGAGGAGCTGGGTGTCTGCTGGGCATGCACACCAGGAAGGCACCGCCCTCCAGCCCGAGCCCAGGCCACAGCGGCAACAGAAGCTGAACATCGGAACGCTCAACTGTGGACTAGGGACCCACCACAGAACCCAAACGCAACATCAACCAAACTGGGATGGCGGACGCGGTCCCCCCCCAGGAGGCAGGTTCCCCGGTGGCCGGTGTGGAAGTCACGGCCAGTGGGCCCGCGCTGCTGATGGCTGTGACCAGGATAAGCACCGTCCAGGTGCATCGGCCGAGAGCTAACGCTCGGTCCGGCAGTGTGGGTGCACCCGCACTGTCTTCGCTGCTGCTCCTGCGCGGACAGCAAGGGCTCAGCGGCCCGTCTCCCAGTCCCGGGCGAGGCCGGGGCACCTGTGCGCATGCGTGTCAGCACCCCCTCGCAGCAGCCTCTCCCCCCAGCGGTGGGAGGGGCCCACGCAGACCACAGCTCCCAAAGCCGGCACTGTGTCCCCCCTGAAAGCAGATGTGGGCAGAGTGCAGGCCTGGGGACAGCCAGCCCTGGTTGACACTCACTGGGTGTGACCTCAGGAGAGTGACAACCACAGACAGCACGGGGCTGTGACAGGGCTGAGGGTGACAGGGCCAGTGCCTGCGGAGGGACGTGACCGTCACCCTGAGGCTGTGCCGAGACCGGCGCTGGGAGGCAGGGACCACGGCGACCACAGGGACACCCCCTCCCGGCCTTCCCTCCGCAGGCTCACACGTGCACGCAAGACACACACACACAGAGCGAGGAACCAGGACACACGCACACTGCACAGGAGCGTGAAAGTCCTGCCGTGCGTGTGACAGGGTGGGGAAGAGACCCTGGCCGGGAGCCCAGGTGTTACTGGTGTGGGACGTGCAAATGCACACAGGTGTGAATGCACACGGGTCAGACCAGGGCACCGGAGGGACGTACTGGATCCACAGGCTCAGAAGGAAGCCCGTCCTTTAAAAAAAAACCTGGGAGAGCTTAGGGGCAAGAACGTCCCAGTTTCTAAAGCCTTTGATGCTGTTTTTCCTTTACGGGGGATAAGAAGCTTCGGGCCCACTGGGTGTCCCCTCGGGGCATGTCCAAGTCCCCAGCACGTCCTGCGGTCAGCTCCCCACTGTGGGGGTAGCCCTCTCCTCTCACCCTGCAGCCGGGACAGCAGGTCAGAGGCAGGAGGATGGCATCTCCGCTGCCCTGGGGCCCAGCGCCGGGCCCGCCCACCCACCTCCGCATACACCAAGGTCCTGTGCTCAGACCACCTCTGTCCCCACCAGTAGCTCCCTGGGCCCCTAGCGCCCCACTTGAGACTGACCCGAGGTGGGATCCGAGGGGTCAGCGTGTCCTCACCTGCAAGGGTGCCCCCCTCACGGTCTTCCAGGCAGCTGGATGGCTGTTCTCAGAGCTGACGGCCCGGACCCCCACCGAGTTCTTCCCCCCACCTGCCAGGGGCCATTCTTCACCCCCCAGCATAGGAAAGTGACATCCTCATGTCCTGGGCCCCTCCGGTGTGTGTGGCACGGACACAGAGCCGTGTGTGGTGCCAGCAAAGGCTGACCCAGGGGCCCGATGCCCCCGAGGACCCAGTTCTGGAGTGGGCATACCAAGCCCACCCTGTGTTTCACGTGGTCCCCAGTCAAGGCCTGCTGGGAGTGCCTGGCCCCGCCTGGAGGACAGAGCCCTCCGAAGCCGAGGAGCCATGTCCCTCTGGGTGCCTTCCACCAGCTTCGCAGGATGCAGGGAGCTGGGCCTGCGGACCGCACCCCCTGGACAAGTCTCCACTGTCTCTACGGCTGGTTTCTAGGTGGCCCTTTAAACGCAGCGCTTTGCAAGGAAGGAGCGAACACAGAGCATCTTGCAAATGACAGAGGAACCCTCTGACCTCGGAGGTGGGCGGCACCAGCCCGGGGCCTGCGCACCTCCGGCTGCACCCCGACAGAAGCCCGGCCGCGGCAGGCACCGGTGACCGACCAGCGGCCGGGTCTCCTCTCCTCCCAGGCTCACCCCCAGGCCCTGTGTGCCTGAGCCGGGCACTGACCCCAGGCCATGAGAGGCTGGATGCCTTGGTCTTTCCCTTCGTACAGCTTTTCTGACTCACGCCAAAGGCCAGGGCCCAGCCCAGCGCCGTCTCCCTGCTAACTGCTGCCCTATGCACCCGCCTGCTCCCAGACAGTGGGTGGTGGCTTGTCCCCGTGTCAGCAGGGGGAGACTCGGTGTCGGGGATGGGGACCCACGTGACCCAAGGGGCCCGACTCCCCCTGCCCCCGGAAGCCAGAGCTTACCTGGCCCCTCGAAGGGCAAGAGCCTGGACGGCACCGGGTCCTCGGCGCTCAGGGGGATCAGGTAGAGGTCTTTGACGTGCCGGCTGTTGTTGGCGACCACGCCGAAGCGGCCGCGGCTGCTGAAGTAGGAGTACAGGGAGATGTAGGCCACCTCCTCCTCCTCCGTGGCCGGGTGGAAGCGGATCAGGCACAGCTCCTGCGGCAGACGGGGCGGTGTGTGGGCCGCGGTGCCGAGAAACGGCCGCGGTCGACACGAGGGGGTGCGGGGCTCTGACCTGAACCTCCCAGCCCCGCCACCCCGCTGTCAGGGACGGGCCGGCAGGCGGAGCACTGGGCTCGCGGCCTTGGCCCTCCAACCCCTGCCCGGCCGTGCAGCGCCTGCAGCAAAGAGACAGCCCCGCGCAGGGGAGCCGCGGAGACGCCCCCGCGCAGGCCGGCAGAGCCCCTTGAGCCTGCGGCCGGGGCAACCCGGCCTCCAGAGCAGAGTCTGCGCAGACGCCCCACGCCTCGCCTGCAGGGACAGCAGGCAAGAGAGCGACCGCCTGCTCACACCGACCTGCACGGCCTGGGCTAAGTCAGGGCGGGGCTTCCCACTCTGCCTGGAACCGGCCAAGAGGCAGCAGGCTGGCCTCTCCAGCCGCCAGGACGGGGAGGGTGGGCAGAGCTCCTCCTCCTGTGGGCGAAGGCTGCCCGTGCACGTACCTTAGACACGGAGGACTTGAGCTTGCCGACGTAGTCCCACACGGTCCTCGGCGCGATCCGCCCTCCGATGTGAATCGTGTCAGGCAGGTCCTAAGGAGACACGGCGCCGAGTGACGTGCTGAGTGACGGGCACGCGGGGCCCCGGCCGGTGCACTGGGAAGGCCACAGTGGTGGCAGAGAGTGTGGCGCTCGTCGTCTCGGACACTTCTTGGTTCTCTGACGTGGGGACCCACACTACCCAGCCCATGGGGTGAGGACAGCCGCGTGACACACCGCACGCCAGGGCGGACACTGCCGGCACCTTCCTGACAGGGACACGCATATCCCAGCCGTGCCGGCTGCTGCCCGCCCAGGGCACAGGGCCCCTGCTGTCCACTGCGGGTGAGGCCATGCCCCACAGCAGGCCAGCGCCTGACTGTGGCATGGGAGAGGGGGGATGGACCCTGGCTGCTCACTAGAAGCTGGGAGGCCCAAGGTCTCGCTGGAACTTCTGTCCAAACTGCCTGCCTGGTGGACCCACCCGGACACGCCCAACCCGCACCTCACTGAGGTGGTCGAAGCTCCCCGAGACGGGGTAGGCCTTCGTGACGAACTTGGCCACGCTCTGCATGTTGATGAAACCCTTCCAGATGGTGCTGAGTCGGGACAGGAAGAGCGGCGCGTCCCCATCTGGCGGAGACCGAGACTCCGCAGCACTGCAAGGCACAACCAGAGGACGGGAGTGAGCTCGGGCCCGGCTGGAAGCCGCCTTTCTCGCGAGAGCGACTTTAAGCACTGGGACGTAAATGGACGTTCTGATGACAAAAAAAGCAGCGGAACAGGTGACAGAACCAGGGGCCATGAATGGAGTCTCCGCCTTCCGGACCCCGTCTCGGAGTGGCGGGGGCGCCCCCGGTGCAGGGTGCCTCAGACACCCACGCGGTCCCGGGAGGCAAGAGCGAGGGTGGACCCCCCACCTGCTCACCTACAAGGAGTGGAAACACAGGGAGAGGCCGCACCTGATGCTCGGGGACGGAGGGACGGACGGAGGGACGGACAGCAGGTATCTGGGCTCAGGGGAGGGGGACGGCTTGGCGAGGATGGACTTGGGCACCAGCACGGGGGGCTTCAGGACGTCCTGCGGGGGCTCGGCCAGCTGGGCGCTGTCGGGGGTCGGGGCTGTGCTCGCCGCGCTCTGTGCAGTCCTGGGGTCTCGGCCGGACACGGTGACAGTTGTGACCATGGCGACCCCGCTGGGGGCTGGGCCAGAGGGCCCTTCTGGGGCAGAGGGCTCAGGGTGGCCATCTCCCGGAGCCACGGGGAGGCCCCTCCCCGAGGGGGCCGCGCCCTCGGGCTGCACTGTGGGCGTGTCCTTGGGCAGCATGTCTGCCGCCACTTCGTTCGCGGAGCTGAGAGCTGGCTCGGAGGGGGCACCGTCGCACTTGGACTTGGGCTCTTCTTTCTTCGCAGGCGCCGACAACTTCTGCCTCTTTGGGGCCGGCTCCCCTTCTGACGAAACCTGACCTGGAGCACGTGCGGTGGGTCAGTGAGGGCCCGACACCATTCGGGGCGCAGCCCGCCTGCCTGCGGACGGCCACTCCTGCAGAGGCAGGGGCTGGCTCGCCGACTCCGGGGCTGCCCCAGCCTCGTCAGTTTTTACACCTGGGCCACACACCAGCGACACAGGAGGAAGGGTCGCGACTCTGAACGCAGCACTGCCCCCGGCCCCTGCTCACCTGTGCAAACCCTGCAGTTCAGGTCGAAGAGGTGAGCGCGGTGCTGGCCCGTCGTGTCCTTCAACATGCTGCTGACGACGTCCAGGGGGGGCGCGGCGCTCTTCTCGGGCACGGTGCGCACCGACTCCTGCTCCTGTGGGAAAAGAAGGGATGTTTGTGGGTCACTGCTGCCCCGCCAGCCAGGGACATGAGCCCCGAGGACCAGCCCCTGAGGAAAAGCGGCTGCGTGACTGGGGCCCAGGCACTCACGTCCGAGTCGGACACAGGCGGGGAGTCTTCCATGTCGGGGACGGCCTCCTGCCTGGCGGCCGCCTTCCTGCCCTCCTGCTGCACCTTCACTCTGGGCTCCGCCACCTGAGAGAAGACACAGCCTTTGTTCCCTTCCTGGGGCCCCGTCACCCCCGCCCCCCGCCTGGCAGCCGCCGCGCCCCAGGCTGTCTGCCCCGCACTCACAGGCTTCGTCAGCCTCCCCTTCCACACGGAGAGCTCCTTGGACACAAGCTCTTCCGGCTTCATCCTCACGAGTCTGGCCAAAGGGATCTCTTCACGCAGAACACGGTGGAAGAGGCCCTGCAAACAGGCGTCTCGTTAGCTGGGACCAGAGAGTGGACAGACCGTCTCTGAGATGGGGGGGGGAGGCGCGGAGAGGACGGCAGGAGGCACAGTGACAGGCGGGCATAGGCTGGAGCACTGGGCCGGGTGCAGCAGGGACATGGCAGTATGCAGCCCCCCAGAGCCCACAGGGGCAGACGTGCCCAGGGAGCACTGGGGCTGGGGCAGCCCTGCTCACTGCAGGCCCACGCCGCACCAGCTGCTAGAGACCCCAGTGAGACCAAGGCCTGCTCCAGAGGCCATGCGAGGAGCAAAGGAAAGGAGACACCTCTTCTGCCAGCGGGTTCCCAGGCAGGCGGAAGCCAGAGCTTCCCATCTAACCTGGCTCCTGGGCACAGGTGAGTTCAAGGGGCCAAGGAGACACGATGGCCAAGGGGAGGAAGGGCCCAGGGGTCAGAGGAGCTCCTCTAGGCAGGCAGCTGGCCCACTGCCACCCGTGGGGACGGCAGCACCCACCCGCAGCTGCTGCGAGAGCTGAGTGCCCTTCTCCTCACTGTGCCCACAGCGCCCGCCCCACGGGAGCCCGCAAAGAGAAGCCGAGGAGACCCAGGCAGACCTCAGCTGGCGCTGGGCCACGTAAGGCGGAGACAGTGCCGAAGCTGCCTGGACGTGAGGGGCACCTGCACCGTCCCACAAAGGGTGTGACCTCTGCTCTGGGGCCACCCAGGTGTGGCAGCTTCCCCACCAGGTGTGTGAGGACAAGTGTCACCTGGAGACAAGTGTGGCGACGAACGGATGGACCTGGGGCTGCAGGGCAGGCAGTAAAAATGCCCTCTGGTTCCACTCGAGGGCAGGAGTGTTTCCGAGAGCCGGGCGGCCCGGGGGAGTGGCACTCGGCTGCACAGCCCGGCACACCCCTGGGGGCAGGTGGACTGGCCTGGGCCACGGCACCCACCTGGTTCTTGGGGTCCTTGAGGTTGAACATAATGCTGCGGTACTTGCTCTTGTAGCGGCTGTCAGTGACGCGGAACAGGCTGAACATCTCCTTCTCGATGTGGAGGGCGACCTTCCCGACCTCACTCTCTGTCATTGTCAAGTCGTCACTGTCACTGGCTCTGCAGGGACAGGAAAGCACGGTGAGCGCCTGCCCATGCGCCTCGGCGGCGGCCGGTCACCACCAAGCGGGCGCTCACCTCCTCCACAAGATCTCCTTCAGGGAACGCCTTATATTTTGCCGGATCTGTGAATTCGGCTGCGACGGGGCGGCGCTTGAGGTCCCCAGGCGGCCTGGAGCTGGGGAGGCCAGGGGGACAGAGGCCACCATGGGCTTCCTGGAGGCGCCCCCCAGGGTGGTGGAGCCCGGCGGCTTTCTGGAAGCAGCTGTGGCAGTGCTGGGCCCCGGCCCTGCCTGCCTGGTGGAGGGAGCGCTGCTCGAGGGGGTGGCCGAGGGCCACGGACGCTTGGGGACGGTGCCCGTGAAGCCCGAGGGCAGCTTCCTGACGGCCGGCTTGACCGCATTCGAGAAAGGAGGCGACTTCTTTTGAAGGAATCTCCGGGGTGAAGGCTGCCTGCTGCCCGCGGCGGGGCTCGGGGCGGCCACTTTCTTCGGCCCCGAGGCCACTGCGCTCTCCTCCACGGGGCGGTCCTCCTTCCCAGCTGCAAAGGACAAGAACAGGCACCATCAGCGAGGCCGGGGGGCAGCGCGGGCCATGGAGCGACTGGCAGAGCTGCCAGGGTCCGGGGAGTACCGAGGGGGGAGCCCTGGAAAGGGCATGGCGTCTGACGGCTGGTGGCACGCCCGAGGCCCGCACCCACACTTCACTTCCGAGAGCCCGTGCCTGCGCCGTCACGCCGCACCCGCCGCAGGGGCCAGCGGGCCCAGGCGAGAGCTGTGCTGCACCACCAGCTAAGCCTGACAAGAGGCAAACGGCACATCGAACACAGGCAGGTTTGGGGAAGCACTTCCACTAAGAATTCAAGTGCACTTTCTTCACAAACATGACTTTGAAAAACACCTTTTCAGGAAGGGTGAGCCAGACCCCCTCCCCTGACCCTCTGGAAAGACTAGTGAGAGTCCTTGGGGTGGGGGGTCCCCCACAGGTATTCATTGTTCTTTCGGGCAAAAGTCAGCACAGTGACATTAATGAGACACAGAAAAGTTGGCAGGAATCTGCCACACGGGGAGCGCTGGTCACCGACACGCTGAGATGAGAACTGACCCGCCACCACACACGCCAGTGGCGTTCGAGTCCTCGTCGGACCGCGTGGCAGCACGTGCAGGGCACCCGAGGAGTTGCAGGCGGGGCCTGAAGCACCGTCAGAGCCCTTGGCCTGCACAGAAGTTCCTGCACTGGCACTGCCTCTGCACCGACTGCGGTGACCCGTCAGACCCTCAGAACTCGTGTCTCAGGGAACGAGGGAGACAATGCGGCCATGGGCCCGGCCCTGGCGCAGACAGGCCACTGCTCACGGCAGGAGCAGGCGGGCCCAGGGAGCTAGCCAGAACAAGGAGCAGCCGCACAGGAGTCGGCAGAGAAGGCACCTAGCCAGGTGCAGGCTGTTCTCTAACTGCCTGGGCAGCAGTGGGCCTCTGAAGCTCCGGCCCCCGAGCGGGGGCTTCAGGAGATGCTCTGGCGATCTGTCGACTTCACCCAGAAATGAAAAACCACTCAACCACCAGTCGCCAGGGCCCCCTTTGACCCCCAGTGAATGGGGACGTCTGAAGCCTCCAGAGGGGCCGCACCCTGCCCACAACTTGGCCCCTGCAGCCGTCACCAGCAGCTGTGCCCAACCTGGCAGAGGGCCAGGCCGCCACCTGGGAGCACTTCCCCTTCCAGCACGGGCTCAACAGCACACAGGGACCTCACGTTCCTTCTGCCCTGCAGGAGGGGCGAGACCACCTCACTGTACAGAGTTCACGGCAGCACTACCTGGCCCCAAACGCCAGGAGAGCGTTACAAGCCCTTGGTCTCCAGCATCAGTTCTGACTTTCAAGCTGGATTTTCCTCCCAAAGCGCTCACAGCCCCTGGCGCCCTGCCCTGGCGCCCCACCCACCCTGCTCGTCACCCATGCTGTCACAACTCTAAAGGCTTCGCTCTCATGCGACTGGATCTCTAGGTGAAGCCCACTGGAGTCGGATGAAGAAACGAGGCGGCCGGAATGAGACAAAAGCACGCTTTCCACATGAGCCGCCAGATCCAGTCCACATACAGGAGTCAGCGCAGGTCAGCGCCTGGGAGCCCACCTCCACCAGCTGGGACGTGGGGCAGGGCTGCAGCACCTTCCCTACAGGGCCTCGGCTCAGGTTCAGCGAGAGGGCAAAGGCTGGGGTGGGTAGGAGCACAGCAAGGGGCCAGGTGCCTGAGCGTCCCAGGCACCGGCCAGAGGGGTGGGCTACTGAAGACACCAGTGGGGGCCTGACAGCAGCTCAGCACTGCCCTTCACGGGTGCCACCCTGTGGGGCATCGGGGCAGCACTGTGACCACCTCTGCAAGGCCAGCCCCAGTGCTTCTGAGCACCTGGGGGCTGATTCTAACACCCAGCACACCTGTGCAATGGTGGGCCCTGCACAGGCCTCGTGGTTCGATGTTCTCATTTCGGGTGGCAGACGGTGTCACCTACAGCGATGTCTGCTCTGGACCTATCTCCAGGTCAGAACCCAAGGTCTGTAGTTCTGGTCAGCCTGGTGGTCCCTCCCCCGTTCAGGGAAAACCCACCATCGTTCCCTTCCGAGACATTCCCGGCACACGATGGAAATGGCCGTCCCCCAGGAGGAGTAGCAGTGAAGACGTGTGACCTATTTACAGTGCAGGGGACAGCTTTCCTGAACCGCCAGGGCATTTCATAAAACTCTTGCTTTGTCAAAGTCAGTCTTCACTGGCTCCACCTGCCCCCAGAGGTATCGACAGACATCACTAAAGGAATCGTGCGTAAAATGTCTAAGGTGGTGGACTCCAAATTGGCCACGCCCCCTTCTATGTCGAAGGGGCATTTAAAACATGTGAACACCTTCACTCAACAACTGCCCCCCACCCTGCTGGCAAATGTGGCCCCACTGAAAGCTGCACTTGGGACATGTGCGCACGACAGGGACCCTGGCCCAGGGCTGGGAGGTCCTGACGGCGAGAAACATGACTGTTTGAGTGGATGACAAGTTCAAAAACTCTCGCCCAGATCTGTCTGCCTGTCCTGGTTCCTGCTGCTCTTTAGAAGGGCAGGGAGCACTTTGGCAACCATGGAAAAGGAACCCATTCCAGCGAAGCAGCAGCACATCCCATGCTGGGGTGACCTCAGGGACAGGGGCCACCCCATGAGCTGCTGCGGTCCCCGCTGGCCTAGTGACAGCGCTGGGAGCATCAGCAGTGGGGGCAGAGGCCGCCCTGGGACGCACCCGACTGGGCTCCCCTGGCAGCCAAGGGGCCTTTAGCTTCCACACCTGGGCCTGCCTGCTGCCAGCTCCCGGCCCCGGCTGACTTGGGGAGCCAGCTGGTACCTTAGCGGCTGTGGGAGGTGAGGCCACCTGTGGGCCAGGCCCGGTCTGTGGTGAGATGGGAAGGCCGGGGTGAGGCCAAGCAGAGCTGGGCAGGCTGGTGCTCCCAAGAACCAGACCTCAGCGACTCTAATTGGCTCATTTCCCAGTGAGCGTGAAGCGGGGGCCCTTGTCACCCTGAGAGGCGGGCTGTGGCACTGCATGGCCACTGGGTGGCACCGGCGGACCTCCGTGGAGACTCGAGGCCACAGGTCTCCACCAGCGGTGCTGCCCTGTTCCCTGTGGAGGCTGTGGCTAGGTGGAGTCGTAGCAGGACTGGGAGCAAATGTGGGGGCGCACCGACCAGCACAGCCCCACACCCCCACCCGGGGGCGGGCAGCGCAGCAGAGGCCCAGCACCCGCACCCGGCAGGCAGCCCCTCCGTTAGACTCCCTTTGAGTTCGTCCCACCCGAACGAGGCCCTTTCCCCTGAAACCCCCAGCCACAGGCAGTCATGCCGACGCCTGTGGCGGCCACTGCTTACAGTCGATTGGTTGCAACTGCCCGAGAGCGAGCGTGTAGGGCGACAGGGAGCCCAGCCACTGCAGGTGCGGAGGAGTGACTGGAGGCCCTGCAGGGCGCCCCTCCCCGGAGCCACCCAGACGGGGACTCGGCCTGCAGCCCCACACCCGCGCGCCCCCCTGCCAACCAAGGAAGCTGCCCCCTGCGGGGATGGGCTGTCACCCAGACGCGCACTCATGGCCACCGTGGGGGCCACGGTGGGAGCGGGAGGGCAGGGACCCTGTCCGCTGTGCCCCCGTCCTGCTGCCTGCCCAGTGGGAAGGGCACGGGAAGCTCCCCAGGAACCTCGCCGTCTCCGGTCAGGACCCTCCTGGCGTGAGAAACCGACGAACAGCAGCGAGAGATCACTTCGCTTTTGTGCGTTTGCTTAAGTATCTTGAGTTACTCTCCCAGCAGCACAACAAAGCACCGGTTCGCCGGGCGGCACACGCCGGCCCCCCGAGCCCTGAAGTGCGAGCGCGCTCCCGGAGGCTGAGGCTCTGGGAGGTGCAGCTCTCTGCTAGTTGCCGTGTTTGAGGTTGCCCTCGGCGAGCTCACCCTCAACGCTGAGGTGTGCAGGACTCTTCCCCGGGAAATGCCAAAGACCCCACGAGCACCTAGCCTTTCCTGTTTGAAGCCTCACATGAGGTTCTAAACATCCATGCTGGACTGGCAGCACAGGAAAAAACTGGTCCAGCCCCGACTGCTGTGGCTGAGGATTGGGCGCTGGCCAGCAAACCAAAGGGTCGCTGGTTCAATTCCTGGTGAGGGCACATGCCTGGGTTGTGGGCCAGGTCCCCAGTAGGGGGCGCACAAGAGGCAACCACACATTGGTGCTTCCCTCCGTATCTTCCTCCCTTCCCCTCTCTAAAAATAAATCTTTAAAAATGTTTTTTTAAAAAGAACCAATTACTCAACATGACTAGGGCAATGTATGATCAAGGCCTCACGGGAGCCGGGCGTGTCACTCAAGGGAACCAGCAGACAACCCAGTGGCGTGGTGGCCCGGGGAGCTTGGCCAGTGCCTTCCGGACACCGTGGCTGGCCCCAGGGCGGCCCCCTGGCTGCACTCGGACCACTGCCAGCTGAGCCCACCGCTGACCACTTTGCCTCGGGATGGGGCTTAGGGGCCTTACACCCTCCCTGCAAACTGCGGGTCCCCCCGGGTCCTGGGGTGGGGTCCCGGGCAGCTGGGCAGCATCAGTTACCTGGGCGCTCTTCCTGCGGAGCTCCTCGGGGTCCGCCCGCACACGGACAGCCGCCCCAACCTTCACTCAAACAAAGGAGAGTGGCGGAGCTTATCCGTCTTCCGCGTTTACTTCGAGAATTCTCAGGAGGCTCAGGACAGAACTATGTGCATGGTTTTGCCTCAGAGGCCAAGGCCGGGAAGGGTCTCCGGACTCCGCCCGAGAGCCCCCAAGACCCCTGAGGCCCCCTGCGGGGCTGTGGCAGCTCCAGAGGGGCCTGACAGACACTGATGCGGCGGGGAACCGCCCTTCTGCACTAGGGTGGACCCCAAGTGCCATGAGGTCACATGAAGGTCACTGACGAGCAGGTGAGACCTGTCTGCTGGAAGCGGGGGGCCTCCCCTGGGGGCAGCAGCACCAGTGCTAAGGGGTTTCATCTCAAGTGTTCAAGTTTATGTGTGTGTGAAACTCCTCCCCGAGCTGATTTCCTAGGGAGGTGGCTACCTCGGTGCTGTAAAAAGCACACTTTAAACACCGAGAACGTCCCCGACAACGAGGGATGCGGGGGGCCTGTGGAGGTTGAGCAGGGCCCTCCGCCAGGCCAGGCTGCGCTCTCCAGGGGGGGCACCTGGTGTTGAGTGTGAAGCCCGCTTTGTCTCCAGCCACGTTTTATTGCCTCGGACAGTTCCAGAAGAGACGGGCAAATGGCTCACGCCGCTGGTAAAACACAGGAGCCCCACCACCCCCTCTGAGTGTCTACAAAATGTGCTTGGGTTCTAGAAGCCGCCACACGTCTTATGGGAAACGCGTGTGCCCCGGCGTGATGTGCCCTGTGCTCCCGGAGCCCACGCCTCCGGCAGGGCCTCGCTCTCCGTGCACCTCGGTGTGGCACGGGCTGTCCGAGGTCAGCAGGGCCACACACCGGACTGGGGGCAGGGCTACCTGCCGTACAGGGGCACGATGCGGGCCTGACTGGGGTGCCCAGGTCCTCCTAGGGCTTCCTGTTTTCGTTCTCAAAACTCCTGTTTCAGTCAAAATCTGCTCAGATCCCCAGGCCTGTAAGTCACCTAAGGAGCCATGTGAGGGTCCAAAATGCATGGACCCATGCCTGTGAGTGCCCCCCCGCCCCGCCCACACCCGGGCCTTCCAGGGCAGGGCCTCCCGCTCAGCTCTGCCTGCTCTCCGCACCCCGAGGGCCGTGAGGAGGGCCCGTGGTGGGAGGAGAAAAACCACTGCTATAAAAGCACAGGCACGATGGGTTTGGGAGGGAGACTCCAAAAACAAATGTTTCCACAGGTACAGGAAGCCTCACAAGCAACTTTAAAAATTCACTGGGGACGGCTGTAAACTGAGTCACCCTGAGAACACGGAGGGCCTGCCGATGCTCTTCACGGGAAGAGGAGTGACCATGCCGGGGTGGCCTCCGTTAGCTGGGGCGGGCCTGTCTCCTCCTCCAGTGACACGGTCACTGACATGTTGTCCTTGTGCCCACGATCCGAGGTCAGCACCAGGGACTGGGAAGGGGAGCGCGCAGAGCGCCTCCAGGAGTGCATGGAGTGCATGCGGGCTCTTGGGCTGAGCAGGGGTCCGGGCGCCCGGGCCAGCCCAGCAAAGCCCGGTTTGCAGCTGGCACAGGAGGTGGGCGGGTGGGCCCTCTCGGGGCGCAGGTCGGTGGTGTGCACTGCCGCCGTCCTATCAGCTGTCGCAGGAGCGGCAGGGTGGCTGAGGGGACGGAGGCAGACCTGCAGCGGCGTCTTGTGGGCGGTCGGCACCCTCCCAGTGTACCTCTCACTGTCCCCCCACCACTCATCTTTTGGGAAGATGACATTTCTGAGATAACAAAAAAAACCAAAAACAAAAAAACTCCCAAAAAACAAAACCAAAAGCAACTAGCTCAAAAATGTCCCCTATGCAGTCAGTTCTGGGTGCCACTGGTTTGTACTGGGAGAGGCCAGTGTGCTGGGGGGAAGGGTCAGTCCTCAGTTTGCTGCAACCTCCTGCCCCCTGAAGCCGGGAGCTTCAGTGAGGAGCTGGTGTGAGGGGAGGGGAGGGGAGAAGAAACGAACGCCCGTCCGTGCGCAGGAGTCGGGCCCTTGGGGAGCCCCCGGCCCTCTCCTCCCTCAAGACTAGGGGATGAGCATGGGAGGAGAGCCATCCCCTCGGCTGCTGTACCAGGTTCCTGATTCTGCCGCGTGCCTGTGACCCACCTAGAGCACGGCCCACTACACAGGGCTTCAGCGTGACCACCCCCACCCGCTCACACGTTGAGTGATGCGTATGTTCACGTATGTTCACGGCCTCAGTAAAAGTGCTACTTTGTAGAGGTGCTAGAACTTAATGAAAACTTGAGACAATGTTGTCAGCATGAAAGTCTTAGCTCGACAACCTGAGGTGTGTCAAACTCACTTTAATACACGCAGGTAACTGTGTTTAACAGCTCATTTCTAAATTGCATTTCAAAGTCTAGTATTGCTTTGCAATTTACGTAGGTTTCAGGCCATTGACATCCTCGAAGTGAGTCTCGAGTTTCACCTTCTCTAACCCACCAGCTCAGAGCCCTGCCTGCGCGGCCCCACCCCCAGTGACAGAGGGGACTGGACGGAGGAGGCCGCACACCTCTCCAGCCCTGGAATTCGGGGCTTTTCTAACCTTTCGGAGCTTTAGAAAGGGGCATGAAGCAGGACAAAAGACAGCTCGATAAAAATGGAGTAAAAATGATTCTAGTAACAGAAGGAGACGTGCCCCGTAGATCTACTTTGATCCCCGAAACTTAGTTTTGGGGAGAGGGGCTGAAAAAGGAAAGATGAAACACCGCTGTGTAGCAGACGTGACATTTTGAGACCCCTGGCAACACCTGACCCCTCGCTGGGGGTGGTGGTGGGGCGCCACCCGGCCAGCCTGGCATCCAGAGAGGTCAGGGGCCAGGCCCTGCAGCCGTCTGTTCTGGGGGCCCCAGTGCCCACTTACCTGGGACCAGCAGGGCCTGGGGAGGGGCCGAGGTGCGCGGTGAGTGTTATGTGGGTGTGTGCTGTGTGGGCTGGGCTTGGGGACTCTTGGTCCGCTCAGAAACGGGACTTCCGCTGGCTCTCAGTGCAGTGCTGACTTGCAGAAAGAGACCCCACCACACACAAAAAAGTGATGGCCACATGTGCCCTGGGGCAGCGCGGGACACCCGCACAGCCGATGGGGCTGGGACAGAAAGGCACCTGCCCAGGAGTGGCAGTGAACTCGGAGCAGCGGGCCGGTACGCCCACTCAACTGCTGTCTGTGGGTGACAACACAGATACTCACCACCGCCTGGTAACACAGACAGACCAGACCTCTGCTGCTGGGCCCACTCCGCTCTGAGACCTGCAGGGCTTCGTGGAGCCCAGGCTGTGGCGAGCCCCTGGAGCTCCAGGGCGTCCGCCTCTATCCTTGGAACTGCAGCCCTGAGCGTGGCTACACCTCCTAGCTCTGGACAGTCCCGAGGGGACGGCCGGGCAGAGAGACAGGGAAGGGTCCAGAGGCCACCCCTAGGTGATACATACATTTACACAACAGTGACGGCCGTGGGGCAGCGGTCTGCTCCGGCTTCACTGCATTGTAATTGTGGTCGCTGGCCCAGGACGGTGTGCTGCTCTCGCAAGGGGCTTCCTTCACCGGGGCCTCGCTCCTGGCAGGGGCCAGCACCGCCTTCTTCACCGTGTTCTCTTTCTTGTCTGGGGCCAGTCTCTTCTGCACGGTGGAGACTCTGACGCCTGCCTGGATAGTCAGCAAACCCCAATCATTAAGCAGACCAGGACCGCGCCGCAGCCCGCCTCCCTTCCCCGCGAGGGCCACTCGGGGCCACTCCGCGCCCCTCCCTGTGCAGGTGCTGTGCCCACTCAGCAGCAGCAGCGCTCAGTTCTGCTCGTCACCAGCCCCTCACGTGGCTCTGTGTGAAGCCTCACGGCACTCAGAGGTGGAAGTCCTGGCCCCTGCAACTCGACCCCAGTCGCAGGGGCCAGGACTTCAACCTGGGACACGAGGCTTGACACAGAGCCACTTGTCATCCACTGAGGCACCAGGCAGCCAGGGCAGCACAGAGCATGCCGCCTGAGCAGGCCGTGAAAAAACGCACGGGGGGTGGGGCGGGGGTGCGTGCGTGCCTGCGCTGGGTGAGAAGATCAGGGTCCCCACAGGCCTGTGCTCTCTGCCAGCGACCCCGCACGGTCACTCTTGCCAGATACAGCAGCTCTGGTCCAAAACCACAAGCGTGAAACCCAAGGCCACTGGGAGGCTCAACGAGCAGGTGGACGAGTCGGGCCCCCCCCTGAGCCTGCAAGTCACCAGCTCAGTGGCGGTCACCACGCGGCCAGGACAGCCCTCGAGAGGAGGGCGAGTGCCCGTTGCTTCCGAAACCCCCGGACCCTCCCCAGATCACACGTGCCCGAGACCGAGATGGCCTGGGCTCACAGTGGGACGGCCCTGCCTAGGGAGGGGCCCACGCCCACCCCGCTGGCTGCCCGAAGGACGAGAACACATGTTCCCTGGTGACTCGGAAACAGGGCTGGTGGGGGGGATGGGAGGACACACAGCAAGGGGAGGGGGACAGGACCCAACCCACACCTACACCACCGCCCCCTGCTCTCCACAAACAAGCCAGCTGGAACGAGGGGACACTTACGCCTGGACGGGGCCCGTGGGTGGGGGGTCCAAGCCAGCCTACCTGAACAGTGCATTTTGGGAGAATAAGCCTTTCTGACTTGGCCTTGGCCTTTTCCTTGGGCTTGGCTTTGGCCTCCCTGCCCGCACTCAGGAACTTCATGGTGGCCGCGGCGTGCTTCAGGATGCAGTCGCTGCTGCAGTAGACGGAGTCGGGCTGCGCCACACGCGAGCACCCCGGCCCGATGCACTTGGCGGCGGCAGGAGCCTCTGCGACCTGCAGGACAGAACACGCGACGTCAGGCCCAGCAGCGATGGCACTTGTGCGCCGCGGCTCCCGGTGCCCAGGGCACGGCTCTTCGTCTAGGAACACCAGCAGCACGTTCGACGTGAGCGAAACGCATCTTTGCTCAGAGCACGCTCACGTCCCTGTGGAAGGCGTGCACGTCACCGCCACCTTCTCGCCACCTTTGGAGGACACGCTCAAAGGGAGCCCCAGGGCTTCGCCCCCAGGACACAGAGCCTGTGTCCCTCTGCAGAAGGACAACTCCACACCCAGTGAGGTCCCCTTACAAGGCAGACGGACACTCCTGTGGACGTGACGAGGGCCCCAGATGAGATGGTGCTGAGATTACAAAATGCGTCCGACTGAAGGACAAGCCTTCAGTGGAGGGACCGTGCCTCTCACAGCACCGGCGGCGGCGGTGCTCCTTTTGAGGGGAGCAGCCCCACCACGCGGGCCCCACAACCGGGCTCTGCGGGCGAGGCTGCTGGCGAAACCAGGACACTCCGTTAAGTCTGCACCCCAGACCAACGACAGGTGCCACGGAAACCACACGGGACCTGTCACATACACCGAACCATGTGAGCATTTCGAGAGGCGACTCTGCCCTCGCCTAACCCGGGAGCCCGGCCCCCAGTGGCCACTGCGGTGCAGCCTACAGGGAGCCCCAGCAGAAGGCCCGGCCAAGCTGGACTCCGGCTCCAGCTCCCAGAAACGAAGCCCCGAGCCCGGAGCCCGTGCCCCCCTCGAGCACCGGGAGCAGGACTGCTGGTCAAGACGAGACACACAGACACACCCTCACACGCACGTGAGCCAAGCCTCACGTCCACGTGCAGCGAGCGAGACAACTGTCTCTCCTCCACAGACCCTGTCCTGCTGCGGGTGGAATGAGAGTGTCTCCAGCACGGACGACACAGACATGCAGGTCAGAGGACTCTTCCCGCTGACACCCTCTCCACCACCTTCCCAATCGCCCTTGCCCTTGGGGCCTGCGGACACCTTGTGACAGCGGCCCGAACCCTCCAGCCCCGGCCCCCGCACTGCAGCCGACACAGCATGAGCTGCAAGGGCAGAGACGCTTTCCCACATGGCCCTCCCAGCCCTCCGCCCGCTGCACACCCGCTGAAGGGCAGGCTCGGGGCAGGGCGGCGCCTGCCGGGCACCCTCCCCACCGGCCCTGCAGCAGGACCCGAGAGAATGGGAAATCACAGCCCCGGAGGGCCCCACACACCAGCTGGAGGAGGAGGGAGTCGACGGCCAGACAGGCAGACAGGATGGGAGCCGCGGACAGCGGCCTGGGAGCCAGCCCGGCTGAGGCTGTCCATCACCCCAGGCAGCCGCTCAACAGGTGCTGCTGCCACAGCCACCACCCCGGGCGTCTCCAGCAAGGGTGGTGCCAGGGCACCAGTTCTGTCAAGATGGCGCGGGGACACAGGGCCACAATACATGGGGTCCGTCGGGAAACCGGTGGGAGGGACCTTCTAACAAGGGAGTCCACTTTGGGGATGTGCCGAGTCCCCAGTAACAGTGCCAGGGCGGGACAGTCACACGGAGCAGCTGGGCAGACCTGCAGAGCCCGAGGAAGGACGGCCTTCCTCCCAGCCCGCCCTCCGCAGATGCTGTGTGGGGGCTGGGGAGCCCAGAGCGCCCCCAGAAGAGAGCGGCTCCTGTAGGCGTGGCACTTCTCCGCAGAGTGCCAGCTGTGCGGTCCCCCTCCCTCCACGACCCGTCGGCAGGACCTACCGGCTGGAAGATCTTGAGCTTCTTCTTGCCACTCGGGTTTGCGGCCTTCTCGATCCGGCCCTTGATCCCCTGGTCCTCGCTGGACTTCTGCTCCACGGTGCCCATGCTCGTGCACTCCGCGCCCTCAGGGTCGGCGGGCTGCAGCCTGGCCTCCTGCGGGTCGGCGGCCTCGGGGCGAGGCTCGTCCTGCACCTGCAGGATGGTGCAGTTGGGGCAGATGTAGTCCTCCCCGTTCCTCTCCAGGAGCCGCCCACGGGCCTCGGAGATGCCCACACAGTCGCCGTGGAACCATTCTTCGCAGCGGTCACAGCAGATCATGAACCTGCAACCAGGAGGAGGCAGGAGTGGAGACGAGACGTGCACACTCAGTCCTGGATGCACCACCCGTGTGCTGCCGTGCTCCACCGACACCCCACGTACCGCCCACCAACCAGCCCCAGCCCCATGACAGGAATGCACGCGCACAAACAGGCAGGGGACAGGAGGGCAGGCCCCGCCCTTCCCCAGCACAGCAGCCAGCCCGCTCCCCTCCTGGCCCCCGACCCCCGCTGCTTCAGTTCATCTCTGCGAAACAGCAAGTGCCTTTCTCCCACCCAATGGACCCGACCCCAGCCCCCGAATGGCACCGGAGCAGTGCCCTGAGACCTCTGGGATGACGGCGACGGCCTAGTCTGCCACCTCCCACACTGGCCCCAGGCCACACAGGGCTGGTGAGACCAGGTGGCAAAGGGCCACACAGGTCCGGTGGCAACCACAGTGTGCACACGCAGCGTGTGGCTCCAGAACCCTTTAGAATGAGGCTCACTCGTGTCCAACGGCATGGCTGCTCACCCAGCCGGCCCTGTAGCTGTGGCACTGGGCGGCAGCCTCTCCCCTGCCCTCCCCACAAGGACCTCCGCCGGCCCCAGGCCGCCGGCAGCCCCTCGCCAGGACCCACCTGTTGCTGTGAGGCTGCCGACACATGCAGTACAGCGCGCTGGGGTCGTACACCTCGCACTCGGGCTTGTGCTTGCCCGAGCCTCTGGGGCCTTCCTCTCTGGCCCCCGGGGCCACACGCCCTTCTGACGTCCTCTCTCGGCCGTCCCTTGCTGCCCGCTCGGCTGCAGGCTCCTGCTGGCGTGGCGGGGAGCTGTCTGCGGCATCGGCCGCCTCCATCTCTGCACTTTCTGTCGCGTCCTCCTCCCGACGCTTCTTCCTCAGGCGACTCAGGGCGCCTCTCAGGGGCCGGTCAGCTGGCTCTTGCTCGCGCTTTCTCCGAAGGCGGTTCTGAAGTTCTTTCAAGGTCAACCCATCACTGTCGCTGCCAGAAGTGTCGTCCTCGCTGTCACCTTCTTTGGCCTTTGCAGACGAGGCTGGGCGCTCCTTGCCGCCTGCAGGGCTGGCCCCGGGCCCACCTTTGCCGTCAGAGGCGCTCTCGACGCTCCCCTCCGAGGCGGTTTCCGCATCTGTGACTGGGTAGGAGGCGGGCTCGCTGGGGTCCTCGGACGACACAGGCAGAGTCCTCCTCCCCCTGCGGCGGACGGTCGTGAGGAACTCCTCCACCCTCTCGGTCCGCTTCGGCTGGCGCCCGCTGCGTCGCAAGGAAAGGCTCTGCTGCTGCTGCTGGGGCTGCTGATCCACAGAGTCTAACTCCGCGTCCCCCGCGCCCTCGCGCTTAGCAATGGTGGTCCTCCGAAACCCCCACGTTTTCCTAAACTCTTTACTGGTGGGTTTGATGACCTTGGGGGCTTCCTCATTGCTCGGGTCACCTTTCTCATCCATACCTAATGGGGAGATGCAACCAAACCACGACCAGCGTTAACGAGGCCTTGCTCTGCAGCGAGGGAGGGGGGGCCGCGGCCTCGGGCCACCCGTGTGCGGACGTGCCACAGGAGAGCTCTCCTGCCCACCAGCCGCCAAAGGGCCCCTAAGGGCAAGTCCCGAAACCAGGGTTTCCTCAAGTGTGCTATGGGACATAATGCAAAGTGACTCTCGAGGAAAATCATAATTGTTACGTGTGGAATGTTAAAAGAAAAACAGCCCTGTCTGGTGCAGCTCAGTGGATTGAGCACCAGCCTGTAAACCACAAGGTTGCCGGTTTGATTCCCGGTCAGGGCACTTTTCTGGGTTGTGGGCCAGGTCCCTAGTGGGGGACGAGCACAAAGCAACCACACAGTAATGTTTTTCTCCTATTCTTCCTCCCTTCCCCTCTAAAAATAAAGTCTTTTAATACATAAAAAGAAAAACAAAGCCAGCAAACAAATCTATAACTGCACTTAGCTGCTTAAACAAGGCCTCATGAAAGAGGCAGCAGGAAGCGACAGGTAAGCCTCGGGGGCAAGGACGGGACGAGAACAGGGGCTGCTCTGTGGACAGTGGGTGGCTGCCGGCTCGCGGGCATGCTCGTGCGGAGTCGCACAGCCCGCACCTCCCTGAGTCAGGCCGGCTCTGCCTGCGGAGCGCGGCAGACAGAACACTGCGCCAGTCCCGGGCCCAGCAGACAAGGGGACTGGCTGCTCCTGTCCAGGGGCTGGAGCCCTGAGCTGCAGTGTGAGAAGTCCAACCGCCGGGCCGGACGGGGTGTGGGTCCTGCTGGGCCCTGAGCCCCGACTCCTAAGACACAAAAGGGCGAGTTTGGGGCAGTGTTAATGCAGCAGCAGGTAACCTGGACGCTCGTTAAGCTAGACGAGAGCTTTTCTTCCCTTTACTCCTCTTTCCCCCTTTCCTGCTAACAGACCACGGAAGGGCCACGCCTGCGAAAACCGGACCCCACCTGAGCAAGACGGCCCAGACGCAGTGTACCTTGGGCGCGCCTGTCCAGGCCGTACAGGCTTCAGTCCTGTTGAGACACCAGTGGAACCTCCAACACCACACCACGTTCCATCCCAGGGGACGGCTGGAGTAGAACGAAGACCTTCAGGAGACAGAGGACACACCATTTAGAACCGCGCACACACCCCAACCCTCTCCGCTTCCCACCAAGCGCTGTCCCCCATTTCCTGCCCAGCTCCACAGGCCCTGCACCGGGGAACCTGGCCTTGCGCCCCCAACCACTCCGAAGCTTGCCAAAATGGCTGTGACATCAGCCTGGGTGCCACTCCACATCTCTGGTCACTGAGGTGACGGCAGACCCAAACTTGGGTGCTCATGGTGATTCCAAAGCAGAGTACTCTGGCTGGTGACCTTGACCAAGTCACACCAAACCGCTGGTGCCCAGGAGGCAGTGCTAGCCTCATGGGGTTGGAAGCGAGAGCCCAGCGCAGCACCCCCCCCCCCAGCAGGGCCACACTCCTTCCATGAGTGTGTGTTGGGAGCTGTTAAAACTGCTGACCCCTTGACCTGGAACTCTTTTAGGAGAAGTGTTTCTACTCCAGCAAGTGAGCTTCCAGCAAATCTGACGGCCACCCTGAGAGGGCCATGCCCTTGGTCTCACGTGACATTCTCAAGTTCTACCGCGGGGCCTGCGCCAGCGCCCCCGTGTGGGGACGGTGCCCTGCAGGCAGCACTACCTCTGCAAAGGCTTGCGGCACAGAGAGGGCACACAGCTGGCAGAGCCACCGACAGAAGGACGGATGCTCCACTCAAACTGCTACTTTCTCCAGCTCGAGCTAACTTGTTTCACTTGTGAAGTCTTTCTCATTTTTTGAATGCTGAACACGGCCACCAAAAAACCCTGGAAAAGTTCTTTTTAACTGAACGCACACAGATAAAGACCCCCCACGGCCACGGCGGAGAAAGCCTCGGGCGCACAGGCGTGCCGAGACGCCTCTTCCTCCAATGCAGTGCCACGCCAGGCCCAGAAAACACACGTGCCCACTCTCGAGGTCTGGCTGAGGCCGTTTACCACCAGGGACACCTACCTGCCAGACACTGAGAGCTGGAACTTCCCAGAAGTCCCTGATGCAACATGAGCCCGGCTGAGGCAGGTGCTCAGCCCGAGCCAACAGCAGGCCCCGGCTGTGGCCCCACGAGACGCAGGCGGCCATGAGACTGCGCTCACAGCACTGTGACTCAGACCACGCGAACACGCAAACACGCGATCCCGTGGGTCCAAGGGAGGCGGGAAGATGCTGGCAGGAAGGACAGGCCCCGCCCCCAGGAACCAGGCCTCAGCTGCTGCCCAGCCCAATGGGCTCCACAGAGCCCAACAAAGTTGGTGCACACCAACGGTGAAAAGGCTGAGCAGCAGAATGACACAGATGCTGCCACTGCCAAACTGTGAACACCCCCCTGCGCCACCACCACAGTCAGACACTGGAGAGGTTTCAGGAGCCCCCGCCTCCCCGCTCGTTCGCAGCAGGGGACAGGCCACCCACACAGGCCGAGGACCCCTCCCCCGAGATGCCCTCCTCCAGGGGAGGAGTGAGCCTCCCTGCCTGTTCCAGACTCGAGAAGAACGCCCTGCTCTCCCCACACATCACAGCTGGCAGAGCCCCCCAGGGCCCGCCCCGCAGACCCACCTTGCCCGCTCCAACTGCCTCCGCAACTGTGGTCTCCTTAGTGACCCAGAACAATGACAAACATTCTGAAGCCCCTCCTTTTAAAGCGATAGTGGCCATTTCACTGCATCATGGCCACCAACCACTCAAACGGGGCAAACCCAGTGTCTCAGCAACCTGGTGTCTGCGAAGGAACTGGAAGCAAACCTCACTGGTACATTTCACAGCCCCCCGAAAAAGACGTGACGTGTTTTCAGCAATAAAAAATTAAGTCCACGTTACTCTGAAAGATAATCCTGATTTGACACGAATGCTGGAAAAGTCATCAGAAAAGTTTAGTTATTTCTGTTGAGTGGAATGAGATCAAGTCCGTATTCAAATCCGACCAGATAATTTCAGATAATTTGGTTAACTTATTCGGACATTTTTACATTTGCAGAACTGCCTCCTTTCCCCCGACTCCTTTTCAACACAAACGCCAGCTCACGCGTGGGAAGACCAAGGCAGCACCTCCACAATCCAGCGCCGCACCCCTGCGGCCTTGCACACGTGTGCAGCCCTGTGCACCACCAGCCCCGCGGGTGGCCCTGATCGCAGACCCGCGACCCCACCACCGCGCAAGTCTCTCCCGAGGGTAAGAGGTGCACGGCCCGACCCCTGGAGAGTGAGGCCCCGGAGGTGAAAGTCTACCACGCGAGAAAGGAGAGTGAAACCATCAGTCCACGCCCCTAAGGCACATCTTCTCCCAGCTGCAAGGCCTCCGCTAGCATCAAAGCGCAGGCGGGACAGCAGCCACTGGCACTTGGGCCAGCAGGGCCAGGGAACAGGACCTGCCCCTCACGGTTCTGGAAAGGCGGCTCTCCAACCTCTGGGTCTCAGGGCCTCCTCACTCCCCTAAAAACTCAGGGCCCCAAAGAGCTCGTCTGCGTGGAATCTGTCACTACGGCCCATGTGCAAACGGGACTTCTCCAGCGGTCAAGGGCATCCCACCCCACCTTGAGGAGTCGCGAGGCCAGCACAAGGTGCTGCGTGGCGACAGAAGCGGTGCGGACCGCCAGCAAACCCAATGCGAAGGCGCACGCCCCACCAGGAGACGAGGAGGACAGGACAGACACACACCCGCTGACGGCGCCACACCCACCTCCTCACTCAGCTTCACCACTGGGAAGCCTCGGAGAAGGCTCACAATGGCAGACGCAAGCTTTTCAAAAAGCTGGTGCTCACCTGAAAGCTGAAACTCTGTCACGAGCAACAGACACTGCCAGCTGCTTTCCTGAGACTCACGCCCTCAGCTCCGAGGAAATACCCGCCCGCCTGTCGCAGACGCCGCCTGCTTGGGCTGCTGCATATGTGGGTTCTGGCCGCCCTGTCCGCTCCCTCCCGGGCATCCAGAAGCTGCGTGGAAGGCAGCGCCTCTGACCCACTGCCCACTCAGTGGAGAAGGTGGGCAACGACCGCAGCAGCAGGAGCCCTCACCTCCTGACCACAGAAGGGCCCAGGGGCTCCAGGCGGCCGGGGACACACTCACGTGCAAACTGGGACTCGGACCTGGGCGTCAGAGCCCAGGTGACCCGAGCACTGCCTTCCAGGGAAGGGTCTGCAAACCGCCCTCTGCCTCCACCCAGCGCCTCTCAAAAGGCTGAGCTGCCCAAAGTGAACTTCTTAACACAGAACCAAAGAGCCCTCCCAGACGGGACGTGTGCCATTTAACATGCAACCCACGAAAGTCAGGCCATGTAGCTCTGAATGCTCACTTGCAGCCCTACGTGTGTCCAAACCTCTCACCCCATTTAAATCCCGAGACGGCCGGGACTTGCCAGCTGAGCACGTCCCGGAGCCCCAGGGCAGGCTCGTCAGTCTGAGGCTCCGACAGCCGCCCCTTTCCTGTGGATGAGGAGGGACGGCGTGAACACCAGCCAGAAGATCCTCAAGCTACGAAAAAGAGGAGGAAGAGGAAGGATCCCCAAACAAGCCTCTCCCAGTCAGGCTCCTCCTGATGGGTAGTCAGTCACTAAAGACGCCAAACCGCCAAGCCCCCAAGTCCCGTCACTCGGGACACCCGGAGAGGGCCGCACCCCAAGCACCAGCAGTGGCCACCCTCAGCCCACCCCACGGGTGCACATGACAGAGGCGCCCACCTGCACTACGCGAGCGCCTGTCCTGACAAAGCCAAGAGCCCGCTGTACGGACCCCCTCGGGGCCCCAGGGGTAGCCCAGGAACAGCCCTGGGGTCCCAGCTGTCTCGGGCGTGTTGCCTGCACGGGTGCGTGGAGATGAGAGCCAACCCCATCACTCGGAATGCTCTGCGGACAGGGCTGGCCCACCCGGGGGGCTGCACGGCCCTCTGTCCCCCGCCCCCACCGTCCTGGTGCACACGCGGGCTGGCACCCTTCGCAGAGCAGTGCGGGTGTCTCCTCAACTGCTGCCTCCAGTGGGCTCCTGCGGGGGTCTGCATGTGTGCCCCCAACTCCTATGTGGAAACCTACCCCCCACAGGGGTGTTTGGGGGCCTCTGGGCTCTGTGAACGGGACCAGTGCCCTGAGAAAGGGACCCCGGAGAGCTCGCTCCCTCACCTCTCTGCTCCCACCGACACCGACTGGGGCTCCAGAGCGGTGGGGAATACGCGGCGCCGTGCGTAAGCCCTGCTCCCTGGACTCTGTCGTGGCAGCCCCGGTGGCCAAGCGCCACCTGTCCCCCCCCCAGGTGAACAGAAAAGTGAACAGAAAAGCCTGGTCTCACGCAGCCCTCCCACCCCCACCCCCAGGAAACTGGTGCTCCTCAGACAAGGCCATCACCTGGGCCTCAGGGACCCCGTGACTGGTCTGGGTTCTCGGGCACGTGAAAAGACCTGCCCTGTGGGACAGGTGTGGGGACGCTGCGCACCTGAGGACAGCAGGGGCCGAGTCCCAGACAGACGAGCCCTCAGGTGCGGGCGCACAGGAGCTCCAGGTGCCCGAGTCCTTCCCAGGACACAGGGCCTGCCTGCCCGTTACCCTGCTGGGCACTTCAGGGGCTGCTTCCCAAGCCTGCAGGTCTCGATTAAAAATCCTGATCCCACCCTGGCTGGTGTGGCTCAGGGGACTGAGTGCTGGCCTGCGAGCCAAAGTGTCACCAGTTCGATTCCCAGTCAGGGCACAGGCCTGGGTTGCAGGCCAGGTCCCCAGTGGTGGTGTGTGAGAGGCAGCCGCACACTGGTGTTTCTTTCCCTCTCCTTCTCCTCTCTCTAAAAGGAAATAAAGTCCAAGAAATAAGAAAAAAGAGCCCTGACCCTCAACAGGCCACCCTGCTGCCTTTACATCCTTGGGCTCGAAGTCACCTGGACAGGACCTCCTCTGGCACCTTGGGGGCCGCCTGTCGGACGCCCAGTCTCAGTGCTGCCCCCCTCAGGCACCGCGCTGCATGGCACAGCACCCACCGGTCACCAACGGCCTCGCCCATGCCTACCCTGCACCCTGGCCTCACTTGACCAGTGGCC